CCAGGGGTTGTCTGTATATATCATCTGTAAATATTGACAGTTTATTTTCAATTACTTATAAATTGTTTTCCTTGCCTAACTGATGACTATGACCTCTAAACAATGTTAAATGGAAACTTTGATAGCAGACATCTTTGTCTTTTTTCTAAATTTTAAGGAAATGTTTTATATCTTCTTATCCAATTTGATATTTGCCTTTGTATTGGAAATGTACCCTTAATCAGGTAAGGAATTTAGTCATACTTCCATCTAATTCATTTTACCCAGGAAATAAAGTGGAATTGTCCTTTTCTTTATAGTACTTCTCTCTCCATAGGCTTGTAAATATTCCTGTTCTTCTCTTTGATATCATCAACACAAAATGCTGAACTAATTTGGAGAAAAACAAACAAACAGAAAAACAGGGCATAGGACTTGACAACATTAGAAGGTGGGCTATATCACAGTCCTTTTCAGAGACCTCTTTTTTACTTTTTATTTTTTTAAATTTATTATAAAAATAAAAGAAGGAAAACATATTAACAAACAGACATCTATTTACAAAATAGCATAAGAACAATACAAGCAATACTGAATTACAAACAAAGTGGTAGGAAATTACCAATGGTTGCTGTATTACATATTGATATCTTCAAAGTTTGTTTCTCCTGTCCTGTTTCACAGGACAGCAAATAGAGACATGCAAGACTGATCAAATAGGTAATCATTAACTGTTCCTTTCAGTAAAACGATAGAAGTCAGTAGCACAAGTATATTAGCTATCCTGTACATACATACATACATACATAATTTCCCCTTCTTTCTTTTCTCTCTTTTTTTTTTAAAAAAAGTACTGATCTAAATTGATGAAGCCGTTTTAGCCTATTGTTTGCAAAATAGTTAGTCAAACTTATTTAAAAACATATACTTTAGTAATTGCAATTAAAAGGATAAAAATACAGTAAAGACTCATCTTTAATTCTGTGTGTGTGGTTCCCAATCCTAGGTATACAGTAAATCATCTTGGATTTTTTTTAACTCCATGCCAGGATCCCATTCCGGTGTAATTAAGTTAGTCTCAAAGTGGTTTCCATTCTGTGACTCTTTCTCTTTATTTCTCTATGTCTGTCTGACTCTCTCTCCCTCATACACACACACACACACACACACACACACGCCACACACACAGGATAATAACCGCTGTTTTTACAATGACTTGGAAGTACGATTGCTTTACTTTTCCGTTCCTAAAATTGCTCCTCAACTCAATTGTTTAAAGGTTATTTCAGTAATTGCCTAGGGGATATGTTTAAGATATACCCTTATTTTTCTGTAATTTAGGACAAATCTATCACTAGAAAAACATGTAGCTTCATTTATTTGTATCAGAAAACTCAGGAAATAGAGCCTGCTCATGGGAAGGTGAGCACACACCATAAAACCATCCTCATTCTCCTCCCTTCACCAAATTGTCATTAACACCTCTTGTTCCCATCGCTTTCTTCTCTTTGTTCTACCTCTCTCCAGGGACTCAAGTTTTAAGGGAAGTTAGAAGAGATTTCTTTCTTAAAAAAAGGATACAAACTGCACATTCATGCAGCACACCAACACCATTGCCAAAAAATTTAATAAATCAAAGTAACAGATGTGTTTGTCAAAACAAAAATATGTAAATCATCCATGTCATGCAAAACTTTTGGAATGTCTGAGGTTTTCTTTTCATCTCTTTTGTAAATTTTAGTTTCCTACAGGATATTTCTCTGGCATTCTAGCATTCTCATCATTTCCTTTGGCAACTTCCAAATTTCTTTTAAAAATATCTATGTGATAGCTTATAGTACCTATGTCCTGTCATCACAGAAACAAGTTGATGTTCAGTTTCAAACATTCAAAAAGTTTTCAGAAATGGAAAGAGCTTGAGACATTATAAGAAACTTGAAGGACTGCAGACCATGAATAAAATAAAGAAATAATAAGAATGAGGAGCTATATTTACAAATTAAGGGAGATTAAACTCAACATGAAGATAGAATAAGCATGAATTCTTGGAACTAAAGCTCTCTATTTGATTTATTCAGCTAAAAAATAAGCAAATGTTCTAAAGAGAAAAAAAGAAACAATTGTCACTTTGACATACAATTTATGTTACTCTGCCATGTAACATCTGTTTTCTCCGACTGTGAAGTAAGTACAAGAGCATATTGCTTACCTAATCAAGTAAATACCAAGAAGAGGAACTACTGCTTCATTGTATGTTCCCCAGAACTTCATAGAAAGGAAGTTTAAAATGAAGAAAAGTAAATATTTGAGGACAAATGAACATTAAGGCCCACCTAGCCTGAAAGGACTTGAGTAGACATTTCTTAAAAGAAGACGTGCAAATAGCCAACAGATGTGAGAAAAGTGTCAACATCAATAATTATTAAGAAACAAAAATTAAAATCACTGAGATGTTACCATATTCCTATCAGAATAGTTGCAACCAAAGGGAAAAAGATAAACATTGGTAAGGATATAGAGAAAAAGGAACAGTTGTATATTACTGATGGGAATATAAATTCTCATACACATTATGAGAAATTGTATGAGGTTGCCTCAAAAAATTAAAAGTAGGACTTCCATATGATTCAGCAATTCCAATTATGAGTCTATCTTTAAAAGAAATGAAATCACAGTGTGTCCATAAAGATAGCAACATTTCTTTGTTCACTGCATTATTTACAATAGCAATATTTAGAATCAGCCTGTATCCATCAACAGATGAATGGATAAAGAAAATGTGGTAGATGTACAGAATGGAATACTACTCAGCCTGAAAGAAGGAAATTCTGTCATTTATGGCAACATGGATGAGTCTGGAGGACATTATGCTAAGGTGGGTGCAGAAAAACAAATACATACGCACTGGTCTCACTTTCACATGGAATCTAATAGTACAGAGCACCTAGAAGTAAAAGATGGATGTTAATTTTCTATCAACTTGTTTGAAATTCTGTATCATTTTTGTTGTTTTTGTATTGCTTTGTTCATGTCTTTGTGTTTGTTAATTTGTTTTTATTCTTTTCTTTTTAAAATAAAATTTAAAAATAAGTAAAGGGTGGAATACAGTTACTAGTATCTGGGGGTTAGGTTGGACTGGAGGGTTAACAGCACTGAAATGATAGTTATAATAGTGTATTGTATATTTAAAAATTGTTAAGAAAGTATATTTGAAGTAATGTCACCACAAAAAAAAATGATAAAAATGTAAAACAATAGCTAAGTTAGCTAGCTTAATTTAATTGTTCCATAATGTATACTGCATTGGTTAGCTTCCCCACTACTGGGATTAACACCTGACACCAAAAATTTAAAGGAGGAGAGGTTTAATTTGGCTCTCGGTTTCAGAGAATTCAGTTCATGGTCAGCTGACTCTAAGGCAGAAATATCATTGTGAAAGGGTATGGCGGAGCAAGTTCAGTTCATGACAGCTGGGAAGCAGAAGAGGAGAATAGCACCCGAGAGAAAGGGCCCAGGGACTAAATATAGTATGAAAGGTTATGTCTCCATGACCCAGACATGCACTCAAAATTGTGCTTTATTAATCCCCTGAGTAGCTCTCAATACAAACATGTGTACAACTAAGCTTAATATATATGGTCATATAGTATTCAATTAAGCTTAGAGTACTATGTATATACATATATATAATAAAACTCATGTCACATACCATAAATATATATTATTTATCAATTAAAGATAAATAATTTAAAATAATAATAAATTTTATTTAGCTGGATGTTTCCCAAAGTTGTTATTTTTTTAAAAAAGTAAATCTTTGTATGCAGATATGACAAAAATGAAATGATATAAATGACTTCACTAATCTCAGCAGTGCCTTCAGAGATCAGGTAATTTTCCCAGGATCACACAAGGGACTCCAGTCTTCTCTTTTTGTTGTATTATATGTTTAGTAATTATCCTTTAAGTATTGCATAAGGTAGATATTATTTCTGTCCTCAGTTACCACAGTGTAGGCATGTGGATTTTTTATCACTAATAAAATTAGATTAAAAACAATAATCTTTAAATTTCAGAATTCCCTTTGTACATTAGGTCAGAGACATTAGATATCTGGAATTACAGTAATTGAAACTATTTTTAAAATGTAATCACTGTAAAATAATTAATGGAAATTCAAGCCCTCTCCATTGAGCCAAAAATATGCAGAAAAATCTTAAAATATGATTCTCTTGAAATAAAGGAATGGTGACACTATTTTAAATATACCTTTAATATAAGTTTGTACATTTTAAGGCTGGCCAAACAATTCTAAAGTACTGTAGTTACATGTTTAAACAATGTGAAGATTATATCTAGTCTAAGTAAATGTTCATCCAAAAGGAACCAGTCATAAAGAAAATGGAAAGACTATATCAAATTGGTTAAATGTAGTCTATATTCATGGTTTACACACTGAAGCATTGTTCACAGTTTTCTTCCTGGTTCTTACAGAGTCCACATATTTCTTTTTAATTTTTTCTTTTTATGTTTCCCAAGTTCACAATTGACATAAAATACCCATTGAAGTAGACAGAAAAGTGAAACAAATATTTCAGAGCTCTTTGGGGACTTAAATGGCTCTTTACAATAAAACTGATTACTCAGAAGGGGACGAGAATGCTTGAAATTTGACTGGAGGAGTGGAGAGCAGGCTAGTTCTAATGTGAAGTATCAAAAGAGACACTAAACTTTATAGAGTTACGCAGTGGAGTCTTCAGTGCTAGAGCCCAGACCAAGCAATAAACCCGAGAGAGGCCCGGCAGCACCGGGCATGGCTACTGCGGCAACAACAACGAAAGTCACTTGGAAAAGATGTGCAAGGTTGTGGCTTCCTGATAAATTCAAATGACACAGACAGTCCCACAGGGCTTGCTTCATTAGATGATTGTGAAATTTGGATTCAAATAGACTGAGGCAAACCCACAAGTTAAAGTATTTTCAAAGTGGCTTAATAATCACTCGAAAACAGACCACAACAACTTTTTTAGCCAACATGACTGAAATTTTGATCAACAAACATCCAAGGGACACAACCAATCTTTTGTGAACAAGGAATATCAAGGTGGGGTGGGCTTGGGAGGTACTCCCCTAGAAAGATACTTTTCTTCTCTGTGAAACCTGGGGGTCGGGTAACGTGATATAATGTTTTTCAGAAATCTAACCCCCAGTGAAGGACTTATAAGGTTTATTGGAGATAACACAGAGATATTTGATCTCTTTTGAAAGATAGATCTTTTTTTTATTTCCCCATTTTGTTCCCTCCTTTAACAATCAGCTGCCCACAACACCAAACCCCATTTGGGCATTAGCCCAGTTGGGATAGGTTTCTTTTTTTTCCAGTTTTCATCTTCTGTACTCCTCATTGACTTGATCTGGTCCCGCTTCACACTGCAGAGAGGAGCTTGAAGGGCTGCAAATCAGAGACTGCTGGGGAGTGGAGATGGGCTGCAGAGGAAGAGGAAGACTGGGAGAGAGGCCACAACCCATCTTCATTTTCCAAGTGTGACTGTGAGTTTCCAATATTTGACAACCTTTCCTTACACTGTCAGTTTTGTCCAGATATAAGCTCATCCTATATTTGTCATTTGAGCCAGACCATGCACACTTCTTGGAGGTTCCAGACCACAGCCTGAGAATCATTTATCTAGGACAGTGTCCTATGTCTACAGACGACTCCTACAGGAACTGCTTTAGCTGTACTGAGACACCAGCTCTTCTCTGACTTCTCAGTTCATCTCCAGAGCAAGTAACACTTTTCAACAAGTATTCATGCATTTACCCATATTTTCAAAAAAAAATTTTTTTTTTTTGGTTTTTCTCCGGTACCGGGAACCGAACTCACGACCTTGCGCTTGCCAGGCAGGCGCTTTTGCCGCTGAGCTAAATCCCCAGGCCCTTCAAAATATTTTTAAGACCTTCTTTTAGCATTAGGGATACAGTAGCATTCAACACACCAAAGTCTCTGGTTTCGTGATGTTTAGCTTTCAAAAGAGAAATACTTACTATTAGCATAGAAGAATATCACATAACGTTGTAAGTAGCAAGTGAATATGTTCTGACCAAGGCTAGAAATATAATCTCTCATAAACTTATTGCATTGGGATGATTTAATATTTAATTAAGCACTTACTGTGTGCAAAAATACACATTTTCTTTCTTCTTGGGTGAGAAATTGAACTGGATTTTTTTCCAGTACAAAGGAAGGAACCCAGGGCTTTTGCACATCCATAGCCCTTTTTCTGTTTTATTATGAGACAGAGTCTGGCTAAATTGCCAGGTGGCCCAGGTTGAGCTCAAACTTGTGATCCTCTTGCCTCAGTGTCTAAAGTGCTGAGACTACAAGGGTGTGCCACCATATTTGGGTGTGACTTATAAAGTGTTTATTAAACCTACACTATAACTTGGTTGGTCACTTTAGTGTATGACAGGTTGTCTGCAAAGTTTTGCCTAGAAATCACTCAGGGTGTGGTAAAGTAAGGCTATTCAAGAAATCTCTTGAAATGGAGTTTTGTGGAGAGAGAAGTTTCTGTTAAGCCATGTAGTGGAAAGAGGTATGCCTAGGTTCACATCCCGGTTCTTCTACTAACCTTTCTGAGCTTTTCATGATGGAGTTAATTTATTCCTTCTTGTATTATTGCAAGGATTACATTTATTTTGCTTGACAAATATTCATCATGCACCTATTATACACTAGATACTCTTCTTGCTACTGAGAATATAGTAAGTAGCAAGATAGACAAAGTCACTGTCTCTATGAGGTACCTTATCTCTTTGCCTCTTTCCTCTGTTCTTCATTTAGAGGGGAGGATGGTCATGTGGAAATCAGTTGAATTATTTGTGTGGAAGACTAGGTCTAGTTTTGTGTAAAACTCTACTGCCTCTCCAGGAACTCCCTGACGATGTCAGAGTGGACCAAGCAGATCTAGCTCTGAGCTGCAACTCCTGGGGCCTGTTAGGTACGAAGCAAAGGGGAACATTCCACATTCAGCCAGACCCATCCCTGGATAGCAGGGATGGGAAACCTTTCCAGATCTTGGCTGAATGACTAAAACATTCCAAGGGCTCCCTGATAGTACATCCCTAACCTATTTAAAAACTTAATAGGCCTTCAGTTCAAACGCCCTAAGTACTTCAAACTCAGTAGCGTCTCTGTTATCACTACCTTTACTCTTGCCTTTCTCAACACAGTTTTGAACAAAACCGTTTTAGCCATCAATATCCATCAATGTGTTATCTATTTTTAAAGGAATAGAAGAAAGTTTATTTGTGGAGTGAATTAATTTTTTAAAAATAGATTGGTGCATAAATGCAAACTAAAAAATGTTAATGAATAAAACACAAGTATAGCTTAATTTTATTTTTATATATTACAGAAACCCATCCATCCAGGAGTCTATAATAACATGTGCAGAATGGATGATAGTAAGAATGATGCAGCTCGTTCCATTCCGTGGCTCCTGAAGTTAACACTACACATGTTAGCGCACAAGCAGATGTACTAGTGGCATTATTTACCACTCCATTCCCCCCATGTTAGCTGGAATAAGGACTTGCTGAAATCACTGCCATTTTTTAATAAGCCTAGATAATAATTGAGAGAGAGAGTGTGCTAAGCTAGTGACAGTCAGCTCTCAGACAGAAAGGCAATTATATTCACCTTTCCATGTCCAGGAAACAGAAACATCTTTTCTGATCTTGCTACAGGAACTTAGAGATGTTGTGACAGGTAAGGACCTGGACATGGATAACAAAGTAGACAGAGTAGCTTTTTTTGCTGTGAAATGTCTAACCTGAAAACAGTGAAGTTAAACAGCTGCATATAATTTCCCACTTTTTGGCTTTTATCAGTTTCTATACCTATGTTGAAGGTGGGTATGATTTATAAATCTGATAGATTTTAGATTATATTTTTCACCTATAAGGTTAAGAATGGAAGGTGATGGCTGTGGGTAGAAGAGCATGTGAGTGGGATCTTGCTTTTGGTTTTGGGAGGTTTTGTTTCAATGTACTAGAAATAAAATGAATCAGCATTGTTTTATATATATTCAAGTTTTAAAATGCTGATTCAGGAACCAGTGTCTTTATTTTACATCAAGTTCTGGGTCTTTCCCCACAGAAATGAATCAGTGGGACTCAGAGAAATGTGAATTGATTTTTAAAAAAAGGAAACAGATGAGAATCTGGTGTCAGATATTTCTCTCCTGAGCTCCATATTGGTGACATTTGGAGCCACTTTCTAGAATGCTTCGGAAGTAATTACAACCAGATTTGTTTCTGTGGAGTCCTGTGCAGTCACTCTCACCCACGTTTCCAACATTGTCATCTCCATGGAAGTCAGATTTTTCAGTTTTGTTTTCCACAAAGATAACCATACAGGAAAATAATGGACTCACCTGAAACATCAGAATGCTAAAAATACTCCTTGGTAAAACAGAGCCCTCTATCCCTCTACTCCACTACTGGTAAATTGTATTTTTCTTCTGTTGAGCTCTTGAAGATCCTTAGTTCTAGACACTGAGCCAAAAATAATGGGCTTGCCATTCCTTATGTGGAACCTTGCCCTATGACCTAAGCTGCCTACACAACCATTGAGCAATAATACTTCTATGCCTAAAGAGAAGATCCAAGAATAACCTGAGAGATTGCTAAATCTAAGTTTCTTAATCTCAACACTATTGATTTTTTTTTGTCATGCTTGGGATAGAACCCAGGGCCTTCTACATGCAAGGCAAGAGCTCTACCACTGAGTTACACCCCCAGCCCACCATTGATATTTTATGCTGAATAATTCTTTGCTGCAGGAGCCTTTTTCATCCATTGTGGGGTAGTCAGGATGATCTCTGGTGTCTACCCATTAGATGCTAGTAGCATTGCCCCAGTCTAGTCATGATAACAAAAAGTCTTTAGATCTAACCAAATGTCCTCTGGGAAATGGAGACAGGGACAGAGGTAAAATTGCCCTCAGTAAGTTCCACCCCTCTAGGATATTCAACAATTTAAAGCATATGCCTTAAGTAGATTTTTCTCTACCAATGGAATTGTCCAAAACATTGCCTCCATTTCCTTTTTCAAATCTAATTTCAATATAATAATTTCATTAAAATCTGAAAAGTAAAGGGAAACTAGAAGAAAAATAGGAAGGAATGGGGGAGGGAGAGAGGGTGTGAGGTATGTTCACTATTGCACAAGAATTCCTGTCACTTAATTGGAGATTAATCTCTCTCTTCCCTAAGTCTGCGACAATTTCTGTTTCTTTAACTAAAGTACAATTACATAAGAATAGAAGATTTCTGTGAAAAAAGAGGATATTTTTTTCTTTAAAAAGAGGCAGAAAATCTGATTAGATAGTTAGTGGCTGGTGATGTTTTGGTATTATTAGAGGTAGGCTAATTAAAGATCAACCACTCCTTTCAAAGCTCATTTATGAAATGGAGTTTGTTTAAGGAGAGAGCAAACGATGACTCTTTACTCAAAAATTCGCTTGGCCTTGAGCAGTGGCTTAAGGGTTCTGGCATTCTGTGGTGAAGGTAAGAACCAGAATCAGCATTCTTTATCTATGTGGAGGGGAGTCACTGCTCTGCCTGAATCTTGAATCAACCTGTGCAAGTATAATCTATACATAAACAATTAAAAGCCTTAGATATCTGCTCATCTCAAGGATGTACAGAGGGGCAAATTGACTTGTTTATTCAGCCAAAATGCCAAGACTTCTGTTTTTGTAGATGCATAAATGATTTTTTTTTGAGAAATCAGGTTTTTAACAACCACAGTGTTAAATTTAACCTCATCTTTGTAATAAGGAATTCAAATATGGATTATCTAACTATAGCTATATTTCAAATATCTATAAAGAATGAAATGACCCACATGAAAACCCTAAAAGCCACACAGCACTAAGCAAAAAAGAATACTTGTATGGCTTGGGGTGACAATTAATGTTAGAGAAATACAAAATAATCTAGAATAAGAAAACCCATACAGAGAGAAAACAGAGAAAATGCTGCCAGAAACTTAGAGGGAGAGGGAGCCAGGCATGGCTGGTGAATGCTTGTGGAGTTCTCTTGGGATCATGAAAATGATTTGAAAGTAGGTGGAGGTGATGGCTGGACAACACTGAAGATGTGCTGAGTGCAACCGAACTGTAGCCTTTAATGTGATTAATTCTACAGTGTGTGAATTTCATCTTTATTGTTTTAAACGCTGGGTCAGCATGTACCGACTACATTTAAAAGTGTCTTTTATGTAAAATGCTTGATATAAATATAGAAATTCAGGAAGATTGATGCCAGAAGGGCCATATACTCAAAATCACTCATTTCCCAATATTTTCCATTGCTTCAGTTTAGGTATCATCATACTTAAAACTTAGTTTACATAGGAACACAAAATGATTGAGGAGTTTTTAGACATGAGAGTTCAAATGTCCAGCTAGAATTTACATAGGAACACAAAATGAT